TGAGGGTCCATTTCTGGGCTCTCTATTCTGTTCCATTGATCGATGTGTCTGTTTTTGTGCCAGTACCATGCTGTCTTGATGATGACAGCTTTGTAATAGAGCTTGAAGTCCGGAATTGTGATGCCACCGGCTTTGCTTTTCTTTTTCAATATTCCTCTGGCTATGCGGGGTCTTTTCTGGTTCCATACAAATTTTAGGATTATTTGTTCCATTTCTTTGAAAAAAGTGGGTGGTATTTTGATGGGGATTGCATTGAATGTGTAGATTGCTCTAGGTAGCATTGACATCTTCACAATATTTGTTCTTCCAATCCATGAGCATGGAACGTTTTTCCATTTCTTTGTGTCTTCCTCAATTTCTTTCATGAGTATTTTATAGTTTTCTGAGTACAGATCCTTTGTCTCTTTGGTTAGATTTATTCCTAGGTATCTTATGGTTTTGGGTGCAATTGTAAATGGGATCGACTCCTTAATTTCTCTTTCTTCTGTCTTGTTGTTGGTGTATAGGAATGCCACTGACTTCTGTGCATTGATTTTATATCCTGCCACTTTACTGAATTCCTGTATGAGTTCTAGCAGTTTTGGGGTGGAGTCTTTTGGGTTTTCCACATAAAGTATCATATCATCTGCAAAGAGTGAGAGTTTGACTTCTTCTTTGCCAATTTGGATGCCTTTGATTTCTTTTTGTTGTCTGATTGCTGTGGCTAGGACTTCCAATACTATGTTGAATAGCAGTGGTGATAGTGGACATCCCTGCCGCGTTCCTGACCTTAGGGGGAAAGCTCTCAGTTTTTCCCCATTGAGAATAATATTTGCTGTAGGTTTTTCATAGATGGCTTTTATGATATTGAGGTATGTACCCTCTATCCCTATACTCTGAAGAGTTTTGATCAAGAAAGGATGCTGTACTTTGTCAAAAGCTTTTTCGGCATCTATCGAGAGGATCATATGATTCTTGTTCTTTCCTTTGTTAATGTACTGTATCACATTGATTGATTTGCGGATGTTGAACCAACCTTGCAGCCCAGGGATAAATCCCACTTGGTCATGGTGAATAATCCTTTTAATGTACTGTTGGATCCTATTGGCTAGTATTTTGGTGAGAATTTTTGCATCCATGTTCATCAGGGATATTGGTCTGTAATTCTCCTTTTTGATGGGGTCTTTGTCTGGTTTGGGGATCAAGGTAATGCTGGCCTCATAAAATGAGTTTGGAAGTTTTCCTTCCGTTTCAATTTTTTGGAACAGTTTCAGAAGAATAGGTATTAATTCTTCTTGAAATGTTTGGTAGAATTCCCCTGGGAAGCCATCTGGCCCTGGGCTTTTGTTTTTTGGGAGATTTTTGATGACTGCTTCAATTTCCTTAGTGGTTATAGGTCTGTTCAGGTTTTCTATTTCATCCTGGTTCAGTTTTGGTAGTTGATACATCTCTAGGAATGCATCCATCTCTTCCAGGTTATCTAATTTGCTGGCATAGAGTTGCTCATAATATGTTCTTTTTTTTTTTTTTTTTTTTTTTTTTTTTTTTTTTTTTTTTTTTTTTTTTTTTTTTTTTTTTTTTTATTTGCGAGAGAGAGAATGAGAGACAGAGAGCACGAGAGGGAGGAGGGTCAGAAGGAGAAGCAGACTCCCTGCCGAGCAGGGAGCCCGATGCGGGACTCGATCCCGGGACTCCAGGATCATGACCTGAGCCGAAGGCAGTCGCTCAACCGACTGAGCCACCCAGGCGCCCTCATAATATGTTCTTATAATTGTTTGTATTTCTTTGGTGTTGGTTGTGATCTCTCCTCTTTCATTCATGATTTTGTTGATTTGGGTCATTTCTCTTCTCTTTTTGATAAGTCTGGCCAGGGGTTTATCAATCTTGTTAATTCTTTCAAAGAACCAGCTCCTAGTTTCGTTGATCTGTTCTACTGTTCTTTTAGTTTCTATTTCATTGATTTCTGCTCTGATCTTTATGATTTCTCTTCTCCTGCTGGGTTTAGGCTTTATTTGCTGTTCTTTCTCCAGCTCCTTTAGGTGTAGGGTTAGGTTGTGTACTTGAGACCTTTCTTGTTTCTTGAGAAAGGCTTGTATTGCTATATACTTTCCTCTTAGGACTGCCTTTGCTGCATCCCAAAGATTTTGAACAGTTGTGTTTTCATTTTCATTAGTTTCCATGTATTTTTTTAATTCTTCTTTAATTTCCTGGTTGACCCATTCATTCTTCAGTAGGATGCTCTTTAGCCTCCATGTATTTGAGTTCTTTCCGACTTTCCTCTTGGGATTGAGTTCTAGTTTCAAAGCATTGTGGTCTGAAAATAGGCAGGGAATGATCCCAATCTTTTGGTACCGGTTGAGACCTGATTTATGACCTAGGATGTGGTCGATTCTGGAGAATGTTCCATGGGCAGTAGAGAAGAATGTGTATTCCGTTGCTTTGGGGTGGAATGTTCTGAATATGTCTGTGAAGTCCATTTGGTCCAGTGTGTCATTTAAAGTCTTTATTTCCTTGTTGATCTTTTGCTTAGATGATCTGTCCATTTCAGTGAGGGGGATGTTAAAGTCCCCCACTATTATTGTATTGTTGTTGATGTGTTTCTTTGCTTTTGTTATTAATTGCCTTATATAATTGGCTGCTCCCATGTTAGGGGCATAGATATTTACAATTGTTAGATCTTCTTGTTGGATAGATCCTTTAAGTATGATATAGTGTCCTTCCTCATCTCTTATTACAGTCTTTGGTTTAAAATCTAATTTGTCTGATATAAGGATTGCCACCCCAGCTTTCTTTTGGTGTCCATTAGCATGGTAAATGGTTTTCCACCCCCTCACTTTCAATCTGGGGGTGTCTTTGGGTCTAAAATGAGTCTCTTGCAGACAGCATATCGATGGATCTTGTTTTTTAATCCAGTCTGTTAGCCTGTGTCTTTTGATTGGGGCATTTAGCCCATTTACATTCAAGGTAACTATTGAAAGATAGGAATTTAGTGCCATTATATTGCCTGTAAGGTGACTGTTACCATATATTGTCTGTGTTCCTTTCTGGTCTATGTTGCTTTTAGGGTCTCTCTTTGCTTAGAGGACCCCTTTCAAGATTTCCTGTAGGGCTGGTTTTGTGTTTGCAAATTCCTTTAGTTTTTTTTTGTCCTGGAAACTTTTTATCTCTCCTTCAATTTTCAATGACAGCCTAGCTGGATAGAGTATTCTTGGCTGCATATTTTTCTCATTTAGTGCTCTGAATATATCCTGCCAGTCCTTTCTGGCCTGCCAGGTCTCTGTGGATAGGTCTGTTGCCAATCTAATGTTTCTACCATTGTAGGTTACATATCTCTTCTCCCGAGCTGCTTTCAGGATTTTCTCTTTGTCTGTGAGACTTGTAAGTTTTACTATTAGATGTCGGGGAGTTGACCTATTTTTATTGATTTTGAGAGGGGTTCTCTGTGCTTCCTGGATTTTCATGCCTGTTTCTTTCCCCAAATTAGGGAAGTTCTCTGCTATAATTTGCTCCATTATACCTTCTGCCCCCCTCTCTCTTTCTTCTTCTTCTGGGATCCCAATTATTCTAATGTTGTTTCGTCTTATGGTATCACTTATCTCTCGAATTCTGCCCTCATGATCCAGTAGTTGTTTATCTCTCTTTTTCTCAGCTTCTTTATTTTCCAGCATTTCATCTTCTATATTACTGATTCTCTCTTCTGCCTCATTTATTCTAGCAGTTAGTGCCCCCATTTTTGATTGCACCTCATTAATAGCCTTTTTGATTTCTACTTGGTTGGATTTTAGCTCTTTTACTTCTCCAGAAAGAGTTTCTCTAATAACTTCCATATTTTTTTCAAGCCCAGCTAGTATCTTTAAAGTGATGATTCTGAACTCTAGATCTGACATCGTACTAATGTCCGTATTGAGTAGGTCCCTGGCAGTCGGTACTGCCTCTTGTTCTTTTTGTTGAGGTGATTTTTTCCGTCTCGTCATTTTGTGCAGAGGAGAATAGATTAATGAGAGAACAAAATGCTAGCAGAGTAACCACGTCCCCAGAAAATATACTCTAAACAAATCAGAAAAGACCTGAAGCAGTGGGATAAGAAGGGGAAAGAGAGAAAAAAAAAAAAAAAAAGAAAAAAAAAGAAAAAGATAAAGATAAAAACAACAACAAACAAAACAAAAGAACAACAACAAAAGAAAAACCAGAATGTGATCAAATATGATCTATATGGTATATAGATCAGTGCCACACACTAGATTTGGGGTGTGTTTTGGTCTTTTAGAAGAAAGTGTCTCCCAAAATTTTAAAGAAAGAAAAACTTATATATGTACAAAAATAAGGGTTGATATGATGAAGGGATGGAAAATGACTGTAAAAATGGAAATTATAAAAAATTTTATAAAAGGAATTGATAAGAAGTTGTTTGAAAAAAGAAAGAGGATTTAAAAAAAGAAAAAAGAAAAAGAAAAAAAAAAAGGGAGAGGATGTGATCAGGCAGGGGAATAGAGAACACCATATACTAGAGATTTAGGGTATATTTTAATCTGTTAGAAGAAACTATCTCAAAATTTTAAAGAGAGAACAACTTATATATATAAGCCAAAAATATGGGTAACTACTATGAAGGGATAGAATATGACTCTAAAAATGAAAAATAAAAATGTTTTTTTTTTAAAAAAGGGATTGATAAGATGTTGTTTGAAAAAGGGAAAAAGAATAATTCAAAAAGAAATAAAAAGACAAAAAGACAGTTAAAAAAAAAAATTAACTTTAAAAGACTAAGGAATCATGGTAAAAAAGCCGTGAATTCTATGTGCAGCATTCCCCTAGCGCTGGAGTTCTGCCGTTCTCATTGATCGGTAAACTTGGTCTTGGCTGCCTGTTCTCGCTGATCTTCTGGGGAGGGGCCTGTTGCCGTGGTTTCCAAATGTCTCTGCCGGAGGCGGAATAGCCCCGCCCTTGCCCCCTCCCGGCTAAGTTATCTGCTCGGGTTTGCTCTCCGGGGCTTTTGTTCCCTGCGAGCTTTCCGTCCAGCTTTGGAGGCGGAGAGTGAAAATGGCGGCCTCCCAATCTCCGCCCCAGAGGAGCCGAGAACTCGGGCCCGCTCCTCAGTGAGCCCCCAGAGAAAAGCCGTCAGTCACTCCCGTCTCCCCGGTCTGCAGCTGCACTCCGTGCTCAACCGGCCTGTGACCACGCGTTTCTATCTCTGGCACCGGACCCGGTCTGGAGTCTCCAAACCCAGCAGATCCCTGCGGTGCACTCCCGCGCGGCTCCTCCCGGGGGAGGAAGGTGAGTCTCCCCGGATCGGCCGCTTGTTGGGTCCCTGCTGGAGGAGCAGGGGCCCGACTGGGCCGCGGATCGAGGTTAATGGCAACCCCAGCTGAGAGCCCGCGCCTGGGCTCCGCCTCTGCAGCCGGCTTCCCTGCTGCGTTACCTGGGAGCTCTGCTGCCCTCAGGCACCCCCGGTCTTTCTGTGACCCCGAGGGTCCTGAGACCACACTGTCCCGGAGGGTTCCACCCCCCGCTGAGCCACCAGAGTGACGTCCCTCGGCGGAGCAGACTTTCAAAAGTTCCGATTTTGTGCTCCGCGGCTCTATCACTCGCCAGAAGCGGCCGACGGAGGCCCCTCCCCCGCCGTCTATCCTCCCGAATATCGCCTCGGATTCACTTCTCCGCACGTCCTACCTTCCAGAAAGTGGTCGCTTTTCTGCTGAGACAGCATTCTTGTCTTTAAATACAGTGGTAAGATGGATGCAGATATTTAATGTACTTTGCAAGGCTTTGGGAAATAATACTCAACAGTGTGGTCTTCACACTGAAGGTGCTGTATACATGTTTAGTTTGTAGATAGATCCATGTTCGTGCCTGCACCTGATTTCCCTCCTGCCATACCAGCAAACTGGGACTTTTCCAACCATTTTTCTTTAAACAACAACAAGAGAAAAACATCACATCTGATCTGTAAGCCAACAGTAACAGAGCGCTAAAGTGTGGACAATATAAAATATTATGTTTGGAGTGAAGCTTCGTTCTTCATAGGCTGCCAGGCATGCTCATTTTAATTTTATAAGGAGAACACATTACTTGACTATTATGGTATTTAGAATCCCTATGCTGGAGTGGTCCCAAAGTCTGCCGTGAAATAGCTAAGGCTGCTTCCAAAATGTACTTTCTACTTTTGTTAACACTGTCCTTTCCTTTTTTAAAAAAAAAAAACTTTTTATTTAAATTCAATTTAGTTAACATAGAGTGTATTAGTAGTTTCAGGGGTAGAATGTAGTGATTCATCAGTTGCACATGCAACTTCCCTTTCAAGTCGTCTCTATAGATTGTGCCTTCCTCAGCTTCAGATGACCTCCTCGGATGCTTCAGTACCCAGCTCCAGCATGTTAGGAGGACCACCCATTGATAATGAAACCTGGTGCCACTGTCCAAACATTCATACTGTTCAGGTTTAAAAATTGTGAACAAAAGGGTGCCTAAGTGGCTCAGTCAGTTAAGCATCTGCCTTCGGCTCAGGTCATGATCCCAGGGTCCTGGGATCGAGCCCTATGTCGGGTGCTCTGCTCAGTGGGGAGCCTGCTTCTCCCTCTGGCCCCTCTCCCACTCATGCACGTGTGCGCACGTGCTCTCTCTCTCTCTCTTGCCTTCTCTCTCTCAAATAAATAAATAAAATCTTTTAAAAAATTTAAAAAAATTGTGAACCAAGATCAAATTCCTATTTTAATGCATATCCCAAAGAAAGAACCTGTGTTCGGTTTCTCCTTTTCTATTCCCCCTTTTTAAATTCCTGACTATATAAGAACCTGCAGGTTAAACAGAGGCCAAGTGAGAATGGCTCTCACAGGGAACAAACAGGCAGCAAAGGATCATGAGCTTTTTCTCTCCTGCAAATCAATGTGGTTCTTGAGATGGAGAATCTAATTATCCCTTAAACTGTCTCCCATGTCCTGATCCACAGGGTTTGTTTCTTGTGCCAACAGTTAAGGTAACCTGTGAGGAGAGCTGAACAAAGAGGTGCGTTTTCTCCGCATAAGGGATCAAGGTGCCCACATATTCTCGAGTTAAAGGCTGGATATAATTTGAAATTGGTTTTTTGTTTGGATTTTATTTTTGGTCGAGTAAATAATGACAGTTTGAGTGAGATGTATGTATAGATCCTTATTTTTAAATTGAGATAGAATTCACCTGCTCCACGATTCACCCGTTTAAAATGCATCTTAGTGTATTCACAGAGCTGCGTGCCCATCACGGTAATCAATTTTAGAAACTTGTCATCATTCCCAAAAGAAATTCCATACCCATTAGCAGCCACTCCCCACTCCTCTCTTCCCAAGCTCCCTGGAAACTACAAATCTGTTTTCTGTCGCGATGGGTTTGTCTGTTGTTGACGTTTTAGATCGATGGTATCATGCAACATGTGGCCTTTTCTGTCGTTTTTTTTTTACTTAGCATATTTTCAGGAGAGAGATACATGTCACAGACACATGCACAAGAGCACGGTCTGAATGCTCTGGAAGGACCTGGACAGCACTCTACTTGCTATTTGCTTTCTCACCTTCTTCAGGGAGTTCACATCACATCTCGATGCATTTGGGAAACGGAGCAAGGCCTGCTGTGTCTCTGACAAATCTTCACTTGCCCATGGACGGCTCCATGTCAAATTCTTACAAGACTTCAAACTCAACGTGTGCAACATGATCTCCACAGTACCCCTTTCCGACTATAATATTTTTGTTACTTTTATACTATTTTGTCACTTTTGTTAATGATAAAACCTTCTGCCCGCAGTGACTTTGAAACCTAGTCATTCTTCCCTCATACAAGTTTCATTCCTCCGCCGCTGTGCTAGACGCGGGTTCTGCCCATTCTGCCCCCGCGGGCCACCTGCTGCTGCACCCTCGGGGACGCTCCCTGGCCCAGGCCCCCATCACAGCCTGCCGGCTCCAGTCTCTCCTGCACCACGGCTGAGCCCCAAGCTGAATGAACGTGAATGGCCCTGTCTTGAGGCAGCGATGGGAAAAGAGGAGCAGGGGGAGCTGTTGGTTGGCTCGGACCCATGCTCATCCCAGGATAATGGAGGGATAGTCTGTCTTCTTCGTGCTGGAGGGGGAGCCGAGTGCTTGGTAGCTCTTCCCTAGGTGGCCTGGGCTGCACCTGAAGAGGTTCTGACTGACTCATTTTCCAGTCCCCCAGCTGCTCCTAATGTATAGTTCTGGGGTCTAACACATTGCAGCAATGGCATCGTGTAGGAGGACAAGCAAGGGCTCTCACGTCAAGAGACCTGGCTTCCAACTGTGATCTACCAAAGGTTAGCTGAGGTACCTAGAGCATCTTAACGGTCTACCCTCGATTTTGTCATCTGTCACATGGGCTAAATACACCTTCATGGAAATGTTCTGAATGTTAATTAATTCAGATGTGAAGTATAAAGTAGAATGTCTGGCACAGAGAAGTCGCTCAGAGAGTAGGGGTTGGCATGGGATATACATGCCCTGTTCTGAATTGTCTTTGTCGCATCCCTAATATGGCTGGGCAACAACAGAGAACCAATTTGTTTGAGTCCTTTGGTGAAAGGCAAAATGACTCAGCTGGCTGAGGGAACTCTGGACCTTACAACTAATTCTGACACAGGCGTACAGGTAGACCTCAACATTTTGTGCTGTTGTAGTTTCTTGAAATGTAGGAAGGACTGGTGGTGCACACAGTGTGGTGTGTGGAGGGCCAATGGGTCAGAAGCTGGGAGAACTCAATGTGCTGTATGATTGGGAAGAAACTTCGCCTGTATCCACATGGGCTCAGCCTGTTGTTGCCACCCTGTTCACACAGTCAGCTAGACCCTAACCGGAATGTTTTCTCCTCCCCAACTCTTTGGGTAGATTAAACTGAGATACCTGGTAGCCACGGGCTCTGAAATACTTTTGCAAAGTCTCATCGACAATTCTTAGCTATGAAAAAGGCTACTTGTGGAGTTAGCTCTGCACACCTTCATTATCTCCCCTCTGCAGGAGGAGCCTCGGATTAGGAACCATGTAGAAGAGTCACAGAGCTGGATCGCACATACACTGCCCAGCAGTTCCTCCAAGCCCCCAAAGGGAGTTAACTCTGGCTTCCCAAAAGAGAGCTGCTTGTTTTCTAGTAACAAAGTGACAGATGATCCCTTCTGAAAAGCTGGCCTCAGGACAGGAGGGGAGGGGGGTAGGCAAGAGATCTGGCAGGGCCCTGGTGTGTCCCCATCCCTATCTGAGGACAGGAACCAGCCCTCTGCCCATGACCAGGCTTTCTTTTGAGTCTGTGAGGCCACAGGCCGGTCACTTGCTCAGCTCAGGATTGTGTATCAGAAACAGCGACGCAGCAGCTCAGAACTCTGACTTAGGGCAGGGATCTAAATATGGCAGGGCTCGAATTCTCTCTTTCTGGTATCAGCAAAGACTATCGGAAGTGTCAGCAGGCTGAGCATGCAGACCTCGTGGAGGAGCTAACTTTGGACTTGGAACAGCAGTTTCCTCGGGGCCCCAAATCCACCCTCGCTGCCAACTTGATTTATGACACCGGGGTCAGCCCACTGAAGCTCATACAGCCAAGGAGCTGTGTCCCTCCAACTTCCTTTCCAACTGGGCCCTCTCTGCATCTCAGACACCTCATGGGCAGCAAATCAGAAGAAGCACAGGATGCAAGGGCTCTTAGAAGATGCCTAAACCAAAGCAATGACCCAAACCAAAAGAAAGCCCTGAAAATCTATGGGACTTTACCTTTCTCCTATCTTTTATCTATGTCCAGCTTCCTTTATGGTTCTCATTTTTAATCAGTATTGGCTAATTCTTCCCAATTCTAACACTGAAAAGTTGATCAGAACATGTGACACCTGCTATCGTACCACAAAGAGAGAGTCAGAAGTTATCAAGGTGGGGTCGAAGCAGGGTAAAACCTGTTTGTGAACTACAACAAGTGACTCTGGATGGAACTCTATCATGTTAGTGTGGGGCCTTGCAGTTCTGGGGGGTTGGGAAGGAAGAAAATGCGAGGGTTTCTCAGGCCATGGGGATGCTACTGGTCATTTGAGTGACGCAGTTCCCTAAGAAGGGAATGTGTCACCTTCTAAGGAGGGCGGTGGCTCTGGGATGGGCAGGTGCACTGATGCAGGCGCAGGAGGTAGAGAAAACCCAGTGATTCTCTATATTCAAAAAAGAGGTTCTAGAATAGACCAAACTAGAGTAAAGTTGCTTGGGAAATAAACGGGACAGGAACACCTTCTATGCCGAGAGGAGCAACACCGGCCCAGCAGGGGTTAGGTCCAGCCGAGGGGCAGCAGGCTGGGGAGAAAGTGCAGGAGGCAGAGCCGAGCGGATGGGGGAGGCTGACGGGGGAACCAGAGGGGACACAACTGCTGCTCCAGGGCCTGCAGGTTCATTGCCAGAGCCCAGGCCAGACCTCAAGGGGAGAGAGAAGCAGCCAGCAGAAACACAGGCCTTCTCAGAGCCAGTCAAGGTGCTTAAACATTTTGGCGTCATGGGTCCGTTTTAAGATCTGAGGAAAACTGTAGAGCTACTCCCCAAGAAAACACACTTCTGCTCACACGATCCCACCTCCCCTTCCGGGCTTTCACAGGTCCCTGCAGGCCACGTCCCAGACTGGGGGTGATGAAGCCCCAGCCCAAAGGATGCCCCTCTGCCCTGAATGAAGAGGAATGACAGCAGGAAACACTTGCAGGATTGTTTAATCCTTTAAACCTCTGGCTAACTAAGTCGAATAATACGAGAGCTGGCCTGAAACTGGTCTGAATAACACATAATTTGCAGCAAAGATGAGTTAGGCACTTAAGCTTTCAGGGCATGTGAGAGTCCAGTGGAAAGGTGGGGACTGGGAGGGCGGGAGAGAGGGCCCAGAGGCAGCCCTGGGAAAAAGAGGAAGAAAGAAAAATGGGGAAACCAAAGGTAGGGAGGGTTTGGCAAGGAAACTGTCCTCCTTGGCACCCCCAGCTGGTGGCAGGAGGATGTTCAAAACAATGGGGAATGGCTCTGGGTAATGGGGCTTTGCTCTTGGGGACCACCCTTGGCTTTTGTCATATGCATTTCGTACTAAAAATTAAGATACATGGTATTTCTTTAAAAAAAAAAAAAGAAAAATATGTATTTGTAATAGCGAGTCTGTACTTAGATTGTAATGATGCCTTTTTTTTTTTTTTTTACAAGGCATTGTTACTTTTCATCTAATCATTTCATTAAGCCACAACCTGATTTCTGAAAAGATGCGTTTTGGGAGGTATGGGGGGAAAAGTGTTGCAGCTCCGTTTGCTATTAGTGAATTATGTGATAGGTTTAATCCAGTGTTTTTTATATTAATACTAGAGCATGCCTTTTTTGTATGGATGAGTTTTCAGTGGTGGAAGGAAGGCTCTAATTCTGAAAATACACAGCGGTTTTTCTTTTTTTTTTTTTTTTAAAGATTTAATTAATTTATTTTAGAGAGAGAGAATGCACGAGCAGGGGGTTGGGGCAGAGGGAGAGGGAGAGAGAGAGAGAGTACCCCAAGCCGACTCCCAGTGAGTGAGGAGACAAACACAGGGCTCAACCCCACACCCCACGCCCCTGAGATTGTGACCTGAGCCGAAATCAAGAGTCCGATGCTCACCTGACTGAACAACCCAGGTGCCCCTGATTCTTTTTTTTTGATGGAAGTGTAGTTGACATACATACAGTATTATATTAGTTTCAGCTGTACAACATAGTGATTCAACATTTACATACATGAGGAAATGACCACCACTAGCTACCATCGGTCATCATACAAAGTTGTTACAATAGTATTAACTATATTCCCTATGCTGTACTGTCCTTATGTCTTATTTATCAGTGGTCTTGGATTCAGCTTTGCTGGGAGAGACCCTAATCTTGAGAGCATTTTTTGTGGATGACTCTGGCCCATGGGTACAGAAGACACAAGGAGATAGCAAGGTAGACTGACTGTTTAAGGAAACCTACCTTCTTATAAAGAAAGGGATCATTTAGAGCACTAGCAGAACATGCCCTGAATGTGAGTCCACTGCAAGCATGTCTAACGGTAGTAGGATTTATAGAAATATGCTCACAGCGTAACGTTCCACAAGGATATGTACAGCATACTGTGGTATATGCAAAATAAGGAGCACAGAATTAGGAGTCAGAAGAACTAGAATCAGGCAGTTTCAGAAACTGTAAGGCACATGGTCTTGGCAAATTATTTACCATTTCAGACAGAGCCCAAGGATCCTCCCTATAAAATGAGACTTAAAAGTGCCTGCTACCTACCTAACCTGACACGTGGTATCAAATGTGAGGGGTGAATGAAATGTCAGAAATTAAAGCATTTGAAATCTCTAAAGGACCATATTAAGTTATACCATTATTATATAAAGCTAACTAATTTTTTGAAAACTTAAGCATATCTAAAAAAAAATTTTTTGAGCACCTACTTTAGACAAAGCACCATTCTAGGTGTTGTGAATTACAGAGGTGAATAAGCCCTTCAAAGAGCTTTGTTTGTGATTTTGAAAATTAAAGGGTCAGATTGAAAGCTGAGAACTCAAAAGATTTTTCAAATATTCGAAGTTGGATGGATCTATATGCAAACAGAAAGATAAACAATTTCATTTAGATAGGTCCTTTTAAATAAAATGAATATTTGAAAAATTCTAAAATAAGTACAATGCAGTAGATACCTAAGAATCAATATTGGTAAACCTGTCTTGAGCAATATGTAAAGTAAATAAATTTGAGCTGAATCATGTGATGCTTTTTTTGGTTTTTAAT